CTTATGTACTGATAGAAAAAATATAATAATAATAGTAATAATAATAATAATAATAATGATTATTATTATTATTTAGTGGAATTTCAACAAGAAAATAATCAATATGATGTGGCAGTTACCTACGTGATAAAATATTTTTATATATATAACATAAAATATAATAATAGATAATATATAATATATTTTATCTTAAAATTTAAAGAAAATTTAATACAAATTAAGGGTGAGCATGCTTATTTACTGGACTTAATGTTGATTTGAAACGACTTGATCATTAAAATTAAACTCAGACACATTTTCAGGATAAATTTGAATTATATTTTAAATCATTTTAACCTAATTTAATATATAATATTCTCTTAAAATTATAAATTTTATTGAATTATTATACATTAATAATAAAAGTATTTAATTATTAGTATTTTCTATAACATCATATTATATCTATAATAAAATTATTTACTTTAAAATATATTATAAAATATATCTTAATAAATTTTATACTTTACGATTTAACTACATATAATATTAAAAATAATATAGTCAAGTCAGGTGGACATGACCTTATCCCATTTAAATTTCGGTCTTGATTGAATAATGTTTGAGTTTAAAAAATTGTTCCAATAAAATAATTGGGTTGAATTTTGAGAAGATAACAATTAAATTAGCACATTTGTAACTTGTCTGGAGACTAGGACCATAAGTCAACGTTTTAATGATGTTTTGACCTTAAAAAGAAATTTTATAATATTTTAATGCATCCTCTGGTCAAAATAGTAGCCTATTATTTTCACAAAGTAAATCTCCCGTGCATTTCTTTCGTCCCGCCTCCAAAATCAAAAGGACGAGAGAATTTACGTACAAGGCCCCATGAGCAACCAAGCAAGCAAATTAGTCACAAAAATATCAGAGTGAGGAGCAATATGTTAACACTCATTCATAGATCACTCACGCACACTCTCCCCAACCAATCTCAATTTCCCTCTCTCTCTCTCTCAGACCACGCTTGACCACAAACGTTGTTCTTTCAGAGTTTGGCTCCCAAGTGTGAACTGTGAACTGTGAAGACCACTAAATGGACTAAAGAACCAAATTAAGCAGAAAGCAATAGAGCTGAAATAGGCAAAGTAAGTTTAGGAAAATAATATAGAGCAACAAACTATGATACACACCAATTCAAGGTGGAGAGTGATAGCACACCAATTATTCACAAGTTGGAGAGCAAATTTGCGGAAGCTTCTTTAGGGGGCAGCAATATTTACATCTTCTATCACGAAAGTTTTGTGGTTTGGCAATGAGAATTTTAATATTTCTATCACTACTAAGAAGTCACGAATTTGATACTTATTATGATACTAAGAAACAATTTTTTACTTCTAGCTAGATGTTGGCAATGATCTTATCAGGAAAATTTTGCAGAAATTGTATATATAGTGTGATATCATATTGGTGGATTAACTATTCAAGATTATGTACAGGTGTTTGTTAGGTATAAAAACAGAAGCATACATTCTTCAATGTAGACTTAACTGCTTGTTAGGTTGTTCTTTCTTTTGTCAAACCAATGTTCTCTAGCCTAATATGTCAAACCAGTTGGTTTTGTAGATATAGATTTGCAGATGCAATTTCTTCATCATGTTATTGCAGTAGAGCACAGATGCCCAATTCTTATGAGGATATATTTTAATAAGGAGTTAAGGGTATCATTTAATTTTGGCTTCCAAATTCCAATATGTGAATATGGTTCGTTTGATAGTTTCATAGTTGAACCCATTTTACTTGTAAAACTCCACATGCACGAATTTGCTATTGAACTCAAATCAATTGTGCAAATCAAAACACAAGATGTTAACAAGGAGTGCACCTTTCCTTGAGAATAATACTGTAGAAGTCAAAACACAAGATACTGCAATTTTAATACTGAAACAAAAAGTTAATACACATAGCTAACCCAATATGCAATACCATGTGCTATCCATTTCCATTTTCTTCCATGCATGTGGCACCACGCACCCAGGAAACTCCTTCCACAAGGAACTCATCTTCTGCAGCTCCCATATGCATATTCGTGTGGCTGCATTATTTGGGAGCAACCCCACAAGGCCACAAGTAATATCTGACATCACACTCAACCACCCAGTGTGGTCAGTTTGTGTGGTTTTGAGAAAACATTTTAGCAGTTGAAACTTGAAACAAATGACTCATCTATTCTGGTACTAGATGGTGAAATTGGAAACTCATTG